CAGCTGGCTGCTCCCCGCCTCGACCAGCACCTCCTGCTCCTCCTCGGTGTCGTCCTCGTCCGAGTCGGAGTCCGTCTTTATCTCCACGCTCTGCTCCGTCACCTCGCAGGGGTACACCTCCTCGTAGGGCGCGAAGAAGGCCTCGTCCGTCTCGATCTTCAGCTGGTCGGCCGTCAGGTCCGACGGGTCGTCCGAGTCCTTCTTCACGCAGGAGATGGTGAACTTGGAGCCGACCTCCGCCCACTTCACCACGTACTCGATGGGCTGCGTGTCCAGCTCCACCGTGATGAAGTCCGCGCCCAGGGCGTCCGACTCCGACACCGCCAGCTCCGCCTCCGAGTCCTCCATCCTGAACCGAGGCTGGGGGTGGGGGGGGGGAAGAGTCAGAGGAGCAGCTACAGGCCTGAGGAGGAGGAGGAGGAGAAGAGGGAGGAGGAAGAGGAGGAGGAAGAAGAGGGAGGAAGAGAAGGAAGAAGAGGGAGGAGGAAGAGGGAGGAAGAAGAGGGAGGAAGAGGAAGAGGGAGGAGGAAGAAGAGGGAGGAAGAAGAAGAGGGAGGAAGAAGAAGAGGGAGGAAGAGGAGGAAGGAGGGAGGAAGAAGAGGGAGGAGGAAGAAGAGGGAGAAGAGGAGGAAGAGGAGGAAGAAGAGAGGAAGAAAAGAGGAGGAAGAAGAAGAGGGAGGAGGAAGAAGAGGGAGGAGGAAGAAGAGGGAGGAGGAAGAAGAGGAAGAGGAAGGGAGGAGGAAGAAGAAGAAGAGGAAGAGGAGGAAGAAGAGGGAGGAGGAAGAAGAAGAAGAGGAAGAAGAGGAAGAAGAGGGAGGAGGAAGGAAGGAGGGAGAAAAAGGAGACGCAGAGGAGAAGAAGAGGAAATTATTATAAATGTATACATAATCAGTCTGATAGAAACGTTCAGATGATCGTGTTTCCTCCACAGAACGAACAGATCAATAAATGATAAACTAAAGTTTAAACTAACAGAATACTGATCCACTAACAGAGTACTGATCCACTAACAGAATACTGATCCACTAACAGAGTACTGATCCACTAACAGAATACTGATCCACTAACAGAATACTGATCCACTAACAGAATACTGATCCACTAATAGAATACTGATACAGAATACTGATCCACTAATAGAGTACTGATCCACTAATAGAATACTGATACAGAATACTGATCCACTAATAGAGTACTGATCCACTAATAGAGTACTGATCCACTAACAGAATACTGATCCACTAATAGAGTACTGATACAGAATACTGATCCACTAATAGAGTACTGATCCACTAATAGAGTACTGATACAGAATACTGATCCACTAACAGAATACTGATCCACTAACAGAATACTGATCCACTAATAGAATACTGATACAGAATACTGATCCACTAATAGAGTACTGATCCACTAATAGAGTACTGATCCACTAACAGAATACTGATCCACTAATAGAGTACTGATACAGAATACTGATCCACTAATAGAGTACTGATCCACTAACAGAATACTGATCCACTAACAGAGTACTGATACAGAATACTGATCCACTAATAGAGTACTGATCCACTAACAGAATACTGATCCACTAACAGAGTACTGATACAGAATACTGATCCACTAATAGAGTACTGATACAGAATACTGATCCACTAATAGAGTACTGATCCACTAACAGAATACTGATCCACTAATAGAGTACTGATACAGAATACTGATCCACTAATAGAGTACTGATCCACTAACAGAATACTGATCCACTAACAGAATACTGATCCACTAACAGAGTACTGATACAGAATACTGATCCACTAATAGAGTACTGATACAGAATACTGATCCACTAATAGAGTACTGATCCACTAACAGAATACTGATCCACTAATAGAATACTGATCCACTAACAGAGTACTGATCCACTAACAGAGTACTGATACAGAATACTGATCCACTAATAGAGTACTGATCCACTAACAGAATACTGATCCACTAATAGAGTACTGATACAGAATACTGATCCACTAATAGAGTACTGATACAGAATACTGATCCACTAATAGAGTACTGATCCACTAACAGAATACTGATCCACTAATAGAGTACTGATACAGAATACTGATCCACTAATAGAGTACTGATCCACTAACAGAATACTGATCCAC